GCTGGTTTTAATGTCGTGCATAACCACTACTTGGTTCTAGCTTCTATCTTGTCATGTGTTTAGCTTGAGTCCTTCTTCCTGGGAATTTCATTTGATCACTCATTATCTTCTCAAACACACACACACACACACACACACACACACACACACACACACACACACACACACGGGTGGGGTGGTGGGGGGACAGAGACAGAGACACAGAGAGAGATAGAGAGAGAGTGAGCCTGGCTCTACCCCTCCATTCATTTGTCAAGTCTCAGCTTAAGGAGCATGAAGTCTTAGAATTAAGTTTGCTTTGACTCATGCTGACCCTAGTTAACCTCTTCCTGCCTCAGAGAACTCAGTACATCTCTTTTAAAATACCTCTGTGTGTGTGTGTGTGTGTGTGTGTGTGTGTGTATTATTGTGGCATATCTCCAATTCAAAGCATACTTTGCATGTTCATCTTCTGCCAGATCAATAGCTATTTTATGGCAGAAGGATGTCTGCAGTATCCCATAAGCCACACATAGTGAACACTTGAATATAGTTGTTATGGGCATAAGATTTTAAGGTGCATCCCCTGAACAAAAAGGTGAGAACAACTCAGTCTCCTTGTTCTAGAGCCTAAGCTTTCACAGATTCCTAATCTATCATCACCAACCAATCTTACAGCAAAAGTGGCCAAAGGCTTGTCTAAGCTAGATGTCATACACACAAATAATTTAAAAATATATTTACACCTGGGCATGACCTACAAATCAGTAACTAAAGGACTCAGGAGGCTAAGGCAGGGAGATCACAGGGAGCTGAAATTCAGCCTGGATTATATAGCAAGATCATGTCTTAAAAAACAAGAACAAGCCAGGCGGTTGTGCCACACACCATTAATTCCAGCACTCAGGAGGCAGAGACAGGTGGATCTCTCAGTTCAAGGCTGGCCTCAAACTCAGAGAGTTCTAGAAAAAACCTGTTTAGAAAACCAACCCCTCTCCTCTCCAAAAAAAAAAAAAAAAAAAAAAAGAATGTCAATGTCCTTTACCCCGCGTGGCCTACACCACCTCTAAGACAGGTCCCTGTATTCTAAGTACATTCAAATATGAGATGTTGGAGACAGACACCCACGGCAACCAACCAGGCAGCACTGGGTTTTCTAGCTGAGCCAAGCAGATATAAGACAAAGATAGTTATAGTGTTCAGTTGTTTACAGGGAACAACTATTGGCTCTCTCCACAAAGCACAATCTCAACACAAAGTACAGAGTCACCATAATTTCTCAGAGGAGAACAAATTTTAAGGTCATGGTTCCCTGACTAAGACAAAAAGGATCCCAGCACTCACAGACCTGGGAAAAAGAACCCATCTATAAGTTTTATAGATTAACCCAAAGAATAAACCTTTTTCCCCTGAAGTCTAGATTAAACTTATTTCCTGCAATTCCCCTATAAATCAGTGTTATGTCTCTTCAGCCCTATATTTAGTAGGGTTTGTTAAGATAAATTATAACTTTAATTTTTCATTAATTTACTTAAAGCTTTGTATCAATTTGCTTACTACTTTTTTTTTTTTTTTTTGCTTTTTCCAGGTTTTTTGTTTGTTTTTACACAGGGTCTCATTACCCAAGCTGGCTTTTGACTTGCTATGTAGCTGAGGCAGACCTTGAACTTCTGATCCTTGTGCCTGTACCTCCCAAATGCTAAGATTGCAGGCTTGACTGCCACATCACTTTTCAAAGCTTTCATGATGTATGTATCTATACATTCACAAAAGTATGGAACACCAGCTCTGTGAATGAATTACCAAGACAGAGAGGTCAAAGATAACCAGCAATTTTCACCTATGAACTAAAACACTTCTCCTGCATGTTCAACCTATGATCACTCTAAAATTCACTTCACTTCAAGATAAACCACATAAACATCTGGTTATTTAGTTAGGAGTTAGCATGTATTGTGTATGCTATAGCCTAACAATCTAAGTTCCATGAAGGAGTTTATAAGTGAAATTGGGAACACATCACACCAAGTGTGTGGGTTTCCAGATCAATTCTGAATGTGAAACATGGTGAATTTTGGGAGACTTAATAAATCCTGTAGATTCTAACTCATCTTTGTTGTCAATCTAGCCCCTCCTTTTAAAATTTTTATTTCATTTTAGTTTATTATTTGTGTGTATATGTGTATGGGCACATGCATGCCATAGACACCATATTTGGAAATCGGAGGACAACTTGTAGGAGTTGGATCTCTCCTTATACCATGTGAAACTCAGGAAATCAAACTCAGATCACTGTGCTTGGTGGCAGGTGTCTTTATGGGTTGAGACATCTCAACAGTCCTAGGTCCTCCTCATGGCAACCACTTATATTGTATTTTAAAACTTCTCAAAGTGATTTCTGGAGCCCTCTCAAATGTTCCAAAAATATCTCCTGGTCATGTTACAATCCTAGAATGACTCATCACCACTTCAGAACAAAATCAACACCTTGGTTAACTCCAGGTCTTTCCATCCCTGGCTCCTGCCTGCCTGTCATCCTCCCCATGCCCACTATTTGTCCCCATGACAGTGCTGTTGTGCACTTGCCCCTTCATCTGTTCGTCTTTTCGACTTGCTCCTACCGTATCTGTAAAACCCAGATGTGCCAGCAATCCACTGGGACATTTCCCAGGATGCTTGACACACCCTTCCGTTACTGCTTCTCCCCATCCCACCGTGCAAGGACAAAGAGGAGAGGGAGCTGGCAGAAAACAGACATAAGCATGCACTCGTCTGAATAAATGTCTAGTCCTTAATATGATCATCAGCCTCTCTTGGGAGAGTCATTTACTAACATGTGTGTTCATTAACCATTTTAAAAAAGAGAGATCTATAGCTTTAAATGCCAACAGTAAACACAGGATGTTAATCAGATGTGACAACACCTGTACCTTCTTCTGACTACTATGACTGTGCTTTTCTCTAGTAAGACATCTTCAATTTTTTACAGGGAATTTGCTTTCCCGAGTATTCAACATCATACTAAGGACTGAACACTTCCCTTCCCTTCCCTCAGAAAAGCCCCATTCCAAGACTGGTCATTCTCATAGATGCTGATGCTCATGTGAATATTGGCTGTAGAATGATTTGAAAATACAATCACAAGGGGCTAGAGAGTTGGCTCAGAGGTTAAGAGCATTTGCTGCTCTTGTAGAGGACCCAGGTTCAGTCCCCAGCACCCACATGGTGGTTCACAAACACTTGTAACTCCTCTTCTGGAGAATCCAACACCCTCTTCTGGCTTCCACAGGCACCAAGCATGTTCATGGTATACAACTATAAAATTAATTCTAAAAACAAAACAAAACAACAACAACAAAAAACCACATTCACAAGCTGGAAATGATACCACATTTCTGAAACCCCAGTATTTAAGAGCAAAGAGGCTCACCCAAGTTTGAAACCAACATGGTTTACAACAGGAGTTCCAGGCCAGCTAGGAATACAAAGCAAAATTTGTTTCAAAAAACACCATTCCAGCCAGGCAGTGGTGGCGTATGCCCAGCACTAGGGAGTCAGAGGCAGGCAGATCTCTGTGAGTTTGAGGTCAGTCTGGTCTACAGAGCAAATTACAGGACAACCAGAGATTCACACAGAGAAACCTTGTCACGAAAAACAAAACGAACAAACAAACAAAAACCCTTCCATTCCCCCCCAAAAAGTTGGGGAACTGAAGTGATAGTTCATTTAGTAGGGTTCTGGAATGGTGACACACACAACTCTGGCACTGGAGGACTGGAGACAAGCGGATTCCCCTGGACCCCATATGGTGGAGGGAGAGACCCTACTCCTACAAGTTGTCTTCCCTGATACATGTACACCTGCACTCACACTTGTGTGTGCACATGCATACGCGCGCGCACGCGCACACACACACCCACACACACACTTCACAAACTCTTTGCTGTGCCTACTCCCTTTGCACTTAGTAATACAAAAAGAATGTCGAGGGGGTGTTAGACTTCTAAAACCCGGTCATAAATAGTACAATGGTTTCTATCACACCACTTTCCTTACAAAAAACTCCTTATGAGGGAAGACACCTACCAATAGAAAACAAGGACAATTCAGGAGTCCTCAAAGACTCCTGCAACTGGACCTTTGAATCAGGTAACTTGGATTTAGATCCCCCAACCTAGTGAGACACTGGGCCATCATCACCAACGTAGAGAGACAACATCTGATTCCCAACCCACAGAAAGTGCTGAATCATAAAGGTTGTTTTATTTTGTGCATTTATTTGGAGAAAATCTCATGTTATAGCTGACCTCAAACTTAGAATTATGTTTCAGCCTCAACTTCTGACTTACAGGTATGCACCACCAGATCTAGCATAAAGATTGCTTTAATCCATTAAATTTTGTGTTTCTTTGTTACAAAGCAACAGATAAACAACACAAGGAGGCAATAGAAGGAGTGAGAAAAATGTCAGTGCAGAAGAAACAACAGTCTAGCACTTGAGAGGCTGAGGCAGGAAGATTGCTTCCAGTTCAAAGCAGCCAGCAGGAGGAGGCGGTGATTGCATGAAAAGCACAAACAGCAGAGAGAAGAGCTGTGAGGGTGGAGGACGAAGACATCCCCATCTCCACCACTTCACTGCCTCGGCCCTGAACTTGAAGAATATGAACTGATTCTCACTTCATTCGAGGGGCTCCAAGAGCCCTGGTGAGAACCACAGAATTTAAGGAATTTAACGAGATTAGCGGATGTCCACCTGAACCCAGGGCCCCTAGGGTAGGTCACACCCGTTGCTCTGGGTCAGCACTGAGGGCTCCAGGGAACAGAGCTCAGATTCTTTTTTTTAGTGAGTTCGGCGCGCCCGAGGGTGCCAGGCCCCATAAATGACCCTGCTACTCTAGGAGTTCAGGCGTGGCCGCCCCGAGCTGTGCGCCGCTCTCCGGTGGCCGGACGCACTACAGGCCCCCACTAGCTCCTGGCGATCGAACGCAGCCGGCCCGAGCGAGGTCGCGCGTGAGAGTTACCTAGCTGGCTCCTGACCTGCTCGGACGCGGCTAGTTGGCTTCGGACGCGTCCACGAGAACCTGCTCCTCACTCGGCAAGTGGTTCAGGACCGCCGAGGCTGGCTCAACCGCGGTTCCTGGAGTCAGGGATCCACATTCCCAAGGTACTCAGAAGCAAACTGCGTCCGACAGTAGCGTCCCTCCCCAACCCGCCCCGGCCCGCCCCGGCCCGCCCCGGGCTGGAGGGCAGCGTGCCACGCCCCCACAGGGCCCTCCCTAGACCTGCCCTGCAGCAGGCCCCACCCCAAAGAGGCTGTGGCCTCTCCCTAGCCCCGCCCCACTGTGCGTCACTTCCTATCGGCGGAAGGGTCATACCAGAGTGGCCGGGTCCTGCAGTCCGAGTTAGTTGCTTAGCAACGCGAGCGCCTTGCTTAATGTTACTACTTTCCAGCATGAAATGGACTGTGGAGCCGAACGTTTTGGCATGGAAATACTGTGATAGCTTGGGCTTCATGTTGCAAAACTAACCCCAGAAAACTGTGAAGGGAGGTGTCGGTCATCTGGCCAGCAGGAGAACCTCTCTAAGGGTTCTCTTTTCTAGATTGCATATCATTTCTTGCCCTTACTGTCCACGTTATTCCCTCTACGCACACACAGACACGGAGTAAAGGTCAGAGGACAATTTTGCAGAGTTGGTTCTTACACCTTTATGTGGGTTCCTGGGATCAAACTTAGATTACAAGCTTTTGCATAATTGCTTGGCAAGAACCCTTGTCCACGGAGTCTTCTCATTATTTGTATTGTTTTTGAGACAGGGTCTGATACAGTTCAGGCTGGCCTGGAAGTTGAAATAATAATTCTGAATTACATCTCCTGAGTACTGCGATTACAGGCATGTGCCATTAAACTGGTTTTATGCAGAGCTGTTACTTTAACCCAGGGCTTTGTACTTGGTAGGTATGCATTCTACCAATTCAGGTACAATCGTAGCTTTTTTGTTTGTTCCTTTTTTTTTTTTTTTTTTTGAAAGTGGAGTTCTCACTTACACAGGTTGATCTTGCGGCCTTGCATCTTTGTTTTTTAATTTTTTTTTTTTTTTTTTTTTTTTTTTTTGAGATAAGGTTTCACTGTGTAGCCCTGGCTGTCCTGAACTGGAGCTCTCTTCATACACCAGACTGGCCTCAAACACAGAGATCTAGCTCTCTGAATGTTGGAACTAAAGGTGTGTGTGACCACTGCCCCGCTGGCCTTTGTTTTTTTTTTTTTTTTTTTTTTTTTTTTTAATGTATCTAAGGCTAGCCTTGAACTCCTGCTTTTCCTGCCTCTATCTTTCATTTGCTGGGATTACAGGCTAGCAACACCACAGTTAGTGATTTGTGGGGGAGGGTGGTACTAGGAGCTAAATGCATGTCCCAGTGCTTGTTAGGCATACATTCTACCACTGAGCTATATCCCCATTACATTGTTAATTTGCTCATTGCAGATGGTGCAGTCTCATTCCTATGGATAATTGTTTGGATAGGGGAGAGCTGTCCTGCCAGGTTTTGTTCCTCCTGGGGTTGGTCCAAGTAGAAAAGTTTATCAATATGTACCTTTGATTAAAATAAAGGAGACAGACACAAAACGAAGGCAGAAATACTAGGTTCTTATCCTACTTTTATTTACCCTGTGGGCCCAAGTGAGGAGTCAAAACATTTTAGCAAAAACAGCTGATATGTGCTTCTTGCAGTATGTTCCAAAATGCTACTGTTCCTAAATATCTTGTTGCTCATATTTGTCAAAAAATTGTTTAGTTGTTTGACTTTATTATTATTTTATTTATGGTTTCTGGAGACAGGGTTTCTCTGTGTAGCTTTGGAGCCTGACCTGGCACTTACTCTGTAGATCAGGCTGGCCTCAAACTCATGTAGATCCACCTGCCTCTGCCTCCTGAAAGCTGGGATGAAAGGTGTATGCCACTACCGCCTGGCTTTATTTTTATCTTTAAAGTATTTTATTTTTTGTTATGTGCATGTTAGGGGAGGGTAAATGTATGTGACTGCTGGTGCCTCTGGGGCCAGATGAGGGTCTCATTTCCTGGATCTAGGGTTGCAGGAAGTTGTGAGCTGCTGGACCTGGCTGTTGGGAACCAACACTCCACTAGAGCAGTTACCACAGAGCCATGTCTTCAGCCTCTTGTTTGGCTTTGAACCTGACTGGTAATTTGCCAACACAAAGACATAGCTCTTGCCTGGAAGGGGATAGGAGATTGTTTATTCTTGTGTCAAATATAAAAGTGACCATGGAACAAGAACATAGAATCAGGATGCTCCTTGTCTTAGGGCTTTATTGCTGTGGAGAGACCCTTGAACTGAGCAGCACTTCTAAAGGAAAACATTTAATGGGGCTGTGTGAGAGCCAGAGTTACATTTCAACAAAAAAGAATGCCTCTGATCTGCAAATCCTTTGCCCAAGGACAGATAGTTCCTGAAATCTGGAGGCTATTGTTTATGGATGATAATAAGCCAAATGTTTCTTTTTTTATTTATTATGCGTGCAGTGTTCTGCCTGCATGTATGCCTGGATGCCAGAAGAGTGCACCACATTTCATTATAGATGGTTGTGAGCCACCATGTAGTTGCTGGGAATTGAATTTAGCACCTTTGGAAGAGCAGCCTGTGCAGTTAACCTCTGACCCATCTCTCCAGTCAAGCCACATGTTTTCATTTGACCCATCTGACATGTGCTTGATCACATGTGGCCAGGAGGTTCACCAGCAGGAAATATAGCAGGATGTATGCTTGTCCTTGATTGGATATATGTTAGAGGTACCTCAGAATGTATGCTTGTCTCTTATTGTACCTGATGGGAAATAGGTAAGCTGCTGCAAAATTTGATTCAGGGCCATCTTCTGAAAACCCACAGATGAGCCACAGCTCATCCACCTGGTCAGTATTTAATTAAAGCTTGCTTCAAATTTGGCTTTAAATTGTGTTAGTGGATTTATTCTTAACCAGTGAGATTAACAGATGGCTTACATTTCAGAGGCTTTAATCCATTATCATCACTGTGGAGAGTGTGGCAATGTGCAGGTAGACATGGTGCTAAAGAGGTAGCTGAGTCTTCTGTATCTGGATCAACAGGTAGCAGGAAGAGCAAGTAAGGCACTGTCCTGGCTTGAGCATCTGAGATCTCATAGCCTGCCCCCAGTGACACACTTCCTCCAGCAATACCTCACCTATTCCAACAAGGTCACACTTCCTAATAGTGTTATTTGAAATGAGTTACAGAGTTTATTTAGGGAGGAAGTAAAATGGGGAGCTGTGATGATTGATAGAGAAAGGAAGTGAAGAGAAAGAATAGGGTGAGTGGAGCTTGCTTGAAAGGGAACCTTTGCACAGGCATACAGGGCCAGGGTACTGCTTGCCATGTCCCCCAAAGTGTGCCACTCCCTGTGAGCCTACGGGGACCATTTTCTTCCAAACCACTGTGTCCAAACATTCTTGCTGAATACCATGTCTCAACTTCAGAAAGGTTTTATGAAGTTTTAATTTTTATTTATTTTTCTTTTTTGGACAGGATTCCTTTATATAACTCTGGCTATACTGAAACTTATTCTATAGACCAGGCTGGTCTTGAATTCACAGAAGCAATTGGAATTTTCTTTGGGCTACCAACCAGCACCCAAATAAAGATGCAGAGACTGACCTTAGCTTAGGCTTCTCTCACTAGCTATTTTAGCTTAATTTAACCTGTTTATGTTCATTTACGTTTTGCCTTGGGACTTTTATGCTTCTTTAATTCTGTATGTTCTACTTTCTTGCTTTCCTCTGTGTATACCTGTCTAGCCCCTGACATCTCTCTGGCCTCTTTTCTTTCTTCTTTCTAGCCTGTAAATCCCACTCCCTTGCTATTGGCAATTCAGTTTTTTATTAGACCAATCAGGTGCCTAAGGCAGGCAAGGTAAAACAGCAACACATCTTTACATTGTTAAACAAATGCAACACATCTTTGCATAGTTAAAAAGATATGCTGCAACATACAGAGCTCTGCATGCCTCTGCCCACTGAGTGCTGGGATTAGAGGCATGTGATGCCAAGCCTGGTTCATGAAATGTTTATAGTTATGGAAAAAATGTAGAGCCATAAGTTGAGGCACATATGGTCCACTATTTAGCCTTGGTTGGCCTATGGCTCTGGCTAGCCTGGACCTCCCTATGTAAGCCAGACTTATTTCTAACTCAGAGACCCACCTACAGGTCAAATTCAGATGTAGGCAATAAGTAATACTAAGAGGACTAAGGATTGCTCCTGATAATTTGGCTCAAAAGAGGAAACATCAATATCAGAATAGAGCCATGTGTCAGCCCTCTTAAAAGCAGGTGAGCAGAGTCAAGGGAAATCATTAATGGGAGTTTTAGGTTGCAGAAATGGCTCAGATGTTAAGAGAACAGGATTCAGGTTTGGTTTCCAGCACCCACATGGCAGCTCACAAACATTTGTAACTCCAGTCCCAAAGGAATTGGAGTATATAATAATACAAATATTGTACTATTATCAGTCTGTGTGTTGTGGAAACTTCAAGCAACAGAGACCACATAAGCATTTAGAGAGAGAACTCTTTAATAAACATATGGGGTAGTTACTCAAAAAGGTCCAGTCTCACGCTGAAAAATTTCACAGCCTATATAGGGTAAGCAGTATTGTCAAAAATTCGTCTACTATCCTAGGGTGGTCTTTTCATCTCTGTCCCAAATAATTCCCTTAGCTTGAACTTCATGAATCCAACCCCTACCTCCTGAGATTATAGGCATGAATCACCCGTCAAGTTTAGTATATTTTATTTGTTTCCACTAAAGTCTTATTAGAAAATAGAATTTGATGTTTTGGGGACTAGGGTGAAATCAGGGTTGGAGTTTTGCTCTAGTTTCTAGGACAATTTGTGACTGCCCTACCTAGCGACTCTAATTGTCCCAAACTACATTTCCCGGCAGGACCCGTATCAACGTTGACGAACTTCCTCCCAGCATTCCCCGCGGCGGGAAAGCGCCGAGCGGGCTGCAGGCCGACAGCACCGTCTTTCCTTGCCGCTGTTGTAGCTGCTGCCGTTGAGTTGTGAGGAGCTTATCGGCCGTCCCTACTGGCCACCATGTCCGCCCAGGCGCAGATGCGGGCCCTGCTGGACCAGCTCATGGGCACGGCTCGGGATGGTGAGTCTGAGCGGCCGTCTAGGCGCTGGCCGGGGGTGGGAGTAAGGCGAGGCTGCCCGGCAGCCTGAAGCGGGGGCCGTCACAGTGTGCGCCTGCGCGGGGCGCCATTCCTTTTCCCCCGCTCGCCGACCCCAGGCGCTGGGCCTTTGTCTGATCCGCTTGGCTTGCAAGGCTGCTGCGGCCTCTGTGTCCTCATCTGAGCGGACTCCTCCTTGAGAGTCCGATCTGACGGTGGGGATTTGTCCCCCTCCCATTTTCCGTCATGCGAATTCCTCTTGGTCGGCACCGCGGCATGGCGCCGCCGGCGTGCTGAAGCGTCGGCGAAGGGCTGGAACCAGCGCGGGCTCCCTGGCGCTGGTTGCCGTGTGGCAGAATTCCTCTGATACTCCTCGGAGGAGAGGCAACCCCCGAGGAGCTGGACGGGTTTCGAAAACCCCGGGCCTTCGTGCTCCGTATGGTTACATGGGGAGCCGTAAATGAGCATTTCTAACGTTGGTTCCTCATGCACTTTCCTAGTCTTCCCACCCCCTCATTCCCCAGCCTCACAGACTAGCCTTGGTTTAATCAGTTCTTGGCATTCGTTAGGTAGGTGGTTCTGTAGGGAGGCGTTCAAGATCACGGTGGTGTCTCAGGAGAAAGCAGTAGCATCCTAGCAAAGCTAGATCCCTGCTGTGGTTTGTTTTTATTTTTACTAAAGTAATGGAGTTGTAATTTCACACTGGCACATTTCGCAGGGCTGTGCAGATTCTTTGCACCTTATTTCATAGGTCAATAAGTGCTTTTAGCTTTCTTTGTATGTTGAGTTGCTTTTGAAATGCTTCCCATATTTTTATTTCATACAAACTGAACAATTGTGGCCCCTCTATTTTATTTATAAAGGTTCAGTGTATCTTTGCCTGCCTACATCAATCTGCAAGGGAGTTGCAGAAAAGCCTCATGTTCATCGAGCCGTGAGTCACAACCAATTTCTAAGCTGTTATAACAAAAAAGTGTTTGCTTTTTTTTTCCACAAGTAACTTTAAAAGTGTAGTTTAGAAAGAAAACATTTTCAGTAAAAAGACACTACATTAATCATGGATGCTTGCAAATCCTGAAATATATTCCTCCTTGACTATTACACAGCTCTGTGTCCTATACACAGATTAGCCTTAAAATTTGTCACATACCACTTTGCCTTTACTTTTATGTATCATTCCCCCTGACTTCCTTACTGCAGGTGTGGGCAAGAAAACTTTTCCTTTAAAACTTTTCAACAGCGGGCATAAAATTCTGCAGCTGAGTTCTTGAAGAATGCAGATGGGTACAGTATGTGTTGGAGTTCACAGTGTGTATTGACTAACCTGATTCCTTTTTGCTTTCTTTGGTATTGTCTTGTTAAAAGTGACTCCCAGGTGCCAACTTTGCCTTTTAAGGGTGGGGATGAAAGAGGAATAAGAAAAGGTCTAGAGATATTTAACAGTCAGTATACAGCTTGAAAGCTTTCTCTTCCTCTTGTAATTTTTGGTAAAACACTGCCTATTTTGACTACAACAAAAACATTAATAAATAGCTTTGGTTGGTGGAAATAACAGCTCAAAGTCCTATGTGGTGGATTCATGGCACTCTGATTACATGGGTCTTAGTGTCATTGCCCACGTGTGTATTTGGACTGGTGCCTTTTGGTACTCTCTTCTGACTCCTTGACATAATGATGGAGTTAGATGTGATTAAGTGTGCGTCTTCGTAAAATACTTTGCTTAAAAAAGATCTGTATTCCGTTCATTTGTAAATATCTTTAGATCAGTTTCTTAGTGTATATGGTGGGGAGAATACAGAGATGCTAGTCTGCCAATCATCCAGGTGTATTGTTATGCCAGATAGCCTTGTGTGGTTAATGGGATAATACTTTATTTAAAATCATAAATGAATTTCAGGAGATGAAACCAGACAGAGGGTCAAGTTTACAGATGACCGGGTCTGCAAGAGTCACCTTCTGGATTGCTGCCCCCATGACATCCTTGCTGGGACGGTAGGTGCATTCCAGAGCCTTATGGGTCGCTTAAAAGGGGTGGGATGGTAGATGTGATATCTTTCTTTAATCAAAAGTAATATTTTATTTTTAAAAATTACATAATAGGAGCTAGAGAGGTAGATCAGTGGTTAAGAGCATTTGTGGCTCTTGCGGAAGACTTAGTCCCAATACCAACATCTGTTAATTCCAGTTCCAGGAGATCAGACACTTCTGAACTCTAGGCAGCTGTATCATCTGCACATACCCATACAAGGCGCGCGCGCGCACGCACACACACACACACACACACACACACACACACAATATTTTTTTTAAAAAAATAAACCTTAAAAATTAATATTTAAAAAACATAACCTTTAGGGTTAGAATTTCTGAAACACCCACTTTATCCTGTGTATAAAGAATTACAGGGCTGAAGAGATGGCTCAGTGGTTAAGAGCAGTCACTGGTTGTCCTTCTAGAGGACCCAGGTTCAACTCCTAGGACCCATACAGCAGTTCACAACTGTCTTTAATCCCAGGGGATCTGACACCCTCTTGTGGCCTCTTTGGGCACCAGGCATGTACATGATACACAGACATACATGCAGGCAAAATATTCATACATGTAAAAATAAAATGAAAATATGAACAAATTATAGGAGAATTGGTGCCCATCTTTGATCTTAAAAAACAAAAACTGAGTATTTTATGCATAAGTACAATGTACAAATATTTTAGTCACATTCATCCCTCTGCCCTTTTTGGGGGTGGGGGGTTGAGGCAGGGTTTCTCTGTATTGCTTTGGAGCCTGTCCTGGAACTAGCTCTGTAGACCAGGCTGGCCTTGAACTCACAGAGATCTGCCTGCCTCTGCCTCCCAAGTGCTGGGACTAAAGATGTGTGCCACCAATCCCTGGCTCATCCCTCCACTCTTGGGGGGATTTATTCATTCATTCATTTATTTGGTTTTGGTTTTTCAAGACAGAGTTTCTCTCTGTTTTGTTTGTTTTGGTTTTTCGAGACAGGGTTTGTCTGTGTAAAAGTCCTAGCTGTCTTGGAACTCTCTGTAGACCAGGCTGGCCTTGAACTCACAGAGATCCACTTGCCTCTGGCTCCTGAGTGCTGGGACTAAAGGCATGCTCCACTACTTGGCTCATCCCTCCAGTCTTAGTAGATGAGTTTTTATGGGTCTCATGGATACTTGGAGTGGGAGTTGTGGGGGGAAATGAATGTTTTTCAGAATTCTATTTTCCTTTAAAATCTTCAAGTTATAGATTGTTCTTCATGCGTTATGAAGTATTTCACTAGTGTAAAATCTACATAGCTGTTAGATTTTTTTTTTTTTTTAATTTTATTTCATGGCATTGGTGTTCTGCCTGCATGTGTGTCTGTGTGAGGATGTCAGGTGTCAGGTACCCTGGAACTGGAGTTACAGACAGTTTTGAGCTACCATGTGGTTGCTGGGAATTGAATTCAGGTCCTCTGGAAGAGCAGCCAGTGCTCTTAACCACTGAGCCATCTCGCCCGCCCCATGGTGTTTTTTTTTTAATTAATTAATTTGGTTGATTTTGTTTAAATTTCAAGTTGGATATATGTTAGACTTTTATTCTCGCATGATATTTTCATTCATATAGATACATACACGCACTTAAATTTTATTTATATGTAGGCCTGAGTACATGTCCACAGAGAACAGAAGAATGCATTGGATTCTCTGGAATTATAAGTGGTTATGAATCTTCCTGATATGGACTGACTCCAAGTCCTCTGAAAGAACAGCAAATGTTCTTAATTACAGAGGCATGTTTAGCTATGTTTCCTTTTTTCTTTTTCAGATCTTTATGTGTATGAATGCTCTTATTTGCACATATACCTTAATGCCAGAAAAGGGCATCAGATCCCTCTGTAGATGGTTGTGAGCAACCATGTGGTTGCTGGGAATTGAATTGAGGACCTCTGGAAAAGCAGCTGGTGCTCTTAACCATTGAACCATCTTTAGCCCCCAGAGCCATGTTTCAGTCCCTTTTTGTTTACACTTTTAAAGTTTGTGTGTCTCTGGCTGTCTGTCTGTGTTTTTATGTAGGTGCCAAAGTGTTCATATAGAAGTCAGGACAGTTTGGATCTGGGGATCAAATTCAGATTGTCAAGTGGCTTTTCCTGCTGTCTTTTCCACCCCTAACATAAAATAAAAAAATCAAGTGGAGATGACATTGATTGCATATTTTTGTAACTCTTTCAAGAAATCTATACTGTCTAATAACTGTAGTCTCTGAGCAATACGGATAAACACTAGTTTTGTTCATTGTGTTTTCATTTGAAATTAAATTAAATTTAAGACTAAACAGTGGAGAAAATCATCTGTTATATTTCAGCTACACGAGTGAAAAAGTGTCCCGTTTTACAAAGGACAAGTTTAAGACTTCACAGCTATTATGAGGAATGTAAAACCAACCATTGGTTGAATGAATATATGTGTGCCAAAGAAAACATGTGAATCATGGATTAAAAAAAAAAATCTGTGTGATTGTATCACCGATTACCTAGTCCCTTGAGACAGTCTTTTTGTTTGTTTGTTTATTATGAGTCAGGATTTCTCTGTGCAGCCCTGGATGTCCTGGCACTTGCTCTGTTGTAGACCAGCTAGCTTCCAACTCAAAGAGACATTCCTACTTCTACCTCCTATGTGCTGGGATTAAAAGTGCTTCACCACCACCTGTTGAGACAGTTTTACTAAGTCTAGAGTACATTGTGCCTAGAGCTTATGGCATTTTGGCTGGGTTAGCAGCCAGTAAAATAACATCAAGTCCTTCTCTTTTTTTCTCCAATGCTGTGGTTACAGATATATGTTGCCATGCCTAGATTATTAACTAGGTGCTGGGTTCTGGACATTCATATTTGAGCAGCAAGTGAGTATTCTTAACCCATTGAGCCATCTCCCCAGGGAACCCTGCCCACTTTTTGTTTCTGAGTCAGGTCATATGCTGACCTCAAAATCTATGCAATTCAATCTGGGCCTATACTCCTGATCTTCCCACTTTTGTTTGTGATTATGTTGACATGCCTTTTGACTTGACGCCATGAGTTTTAGGATAAAAATTTCCTATTGCGCTGGGCATTGGTGGTGCATGCCTTTAGTCCCAGCACTCAGGAGGCAGAGGCAGGTGTTATCTCTGTGAGTTTGAGGCCAGCCTGGCCTACAGAGATAGTTCCAGGACAGGCTCCAAAGTTACACAGAGAAACCCTGTCAACCAAAAAAAAAAAAATTCCTATTGCTATTCAAACAATCAGAGCAGGAGATATCTGCACAGTCCTGTACTTAGGACTGCGATAAGCACCACAAAGTCTAGTATAATTGTTAATACATGCGATTAGAATACATAATAATACATTGTGGCTACTCTTATTGTCAACATAACACTTTTAGTGAGTTATAAATTGGGCTGTTTAACAGATTAAGAGAATGTTTATTTTATTTATATCTGTTGTATGTGTAGGAACGTTGCCTCTGTGTGTGTGCTTATGCATGCTATGTGTCTGGTGTCCTTGGAGGTTAGAAGAGGGTGTCAAAAACCCTGGAACTAGGATTATGAATGGTTGTGAGCTATCAAAGACCTAATAAGAGGTTGGACACCGGGCTCTGAATAATGAAAAATATATTTCTAGGTTATATCTTGTTTCTTTTTTGTTTATATGATATGATCTCATGTTGTCCATGCTGACCTTGAACTTACTATATAGCTGAAGGTGGCCTTGCATTCCTGACCCTCCTAGCTTTTCCTACAAAGGGCTCCAATTACAGAAATTCGCCAATGTAACTGGCTTCGTTTCTTTTTGTTGGAGACAGGGTCTTATGTAGCCCTATTGAAATTGGCCTTAAATTTACTATACTGTTGCCAGTCAAGCCTCTAAATTGTTGAGATTATCAGTATATGCCATTGTATTGGTTCATTTCTTTCTTTTTTTTAAGATGTATTTATTTATTATGTATGCAGTATTCTATCTGCATGTAATCCTGCAGACCAGAAGAGGGCACCAAATCTCATTACAGATAGTTGTGAGCTGGGAATTGAACTAGGACCTCTGGAAGACTAATAAGCATATATACTATTTTTATATATTTTATATTGTTCTGCCTGCATGTCTCCTGCAGGCCAGGAGATGACACAAGATCTCATGTGATTGCTGGGAATTGAACTCAGGACCTCTGGAAGAGCAGTCAGAGCAGCCAATGCCCTTAACTGCTGAGCTCTCTCCAGTCCCCTTTATCCATTTCTTAATTTATCTATAAAACTATATCGTTAGGCAAGTGTTGGTGACTCACACCTTTAATCCCAGCTCTTGGAAGGCAGAGGCAGGCAGATCTCTGTGAGTTCGAGGCCAGCCTGGTCTGCAGAGCAAGTTCCAGGATAACCTCTAAAGCAATACAGAGAAACCCTGTCACCCAAAACCAAACCAAAAAAAATTTATTTCAGTGAAAGTTGAAATACTAAATTATATTAATTTCATGCTTTCTAGAATGAGTGTTAATGTTTTAATTTTTTTTTTTTAATTTTCCACAGCGCATGGATTTAGGAGAATGTACCAAAATCCACGACTTGGCCCTCCGAGCAGATTATGAAATTGCAAGTAAAGAAAGAGACCTGTTTTTTGAATTAGATGTAAGATTTTGTTTTGTTTTGTTTTGTTTTGGATGTTTATCTGTGTTGCAAAGTTTCAATTATTATTGAAAGTAGTGTGATGTTTGTACATTACAAAGCAAAATAATTAAATATGCACTTGTTAAAATCTTAAATTCTAAAACACAACAGAACCATCTTATATGTATATGACTGTCAACTTATTACTATATTGAATTTTATTTCATTGTTTGCTTTTTTAAATATGTCTCATATAGCCCATGCTGGTAGCACATACTATGAGCCAAGGATGATCTTGAACTCCTGATGATCTTGAACTCTCTTGAATGCTGGGATTATAGAGCTATGTGCCATCATCATAGATTTATGTAGTGTTGACAATTGAACTCAGAGCTTCATACATGTTAGGCAAGCATTCTACCAATTATACTATATCCCCAGCCTCTGGACATTTTTAGCAAAGAGGCTGTTACCTTAAGATACAGGTGTCCACAGATGGTGGTGGCGTACTCCTTTAATCACAGCACTTAAGAGGGAGAGACTGGCGGTTCTCTGAGTTTGATGCCAGCCTGGCCTGTAGATACAGAGCTAGTTCCAGAATAGCCAAGGCTATACAAAGAAATCCTGTCTCAAAAAACAACAAAAAGATACCAAGTTTCAAAAAGTGATAGGATAGATTAAAGTCTCACTTTAAGGAATGTATCTTTTTTAATGTACTAAACCAAAATGTCAAGTAAGTGTGTGTGTGTGTGTGTGTGTGTGTGTGTGTGTGTGTGTGTGTGTGTGTACACAATGTGGGTGTTTTGTCTGCATGATGCCGTTAGAGGCCAAGAATAGCCATAGGATTCCCTGGAACAGTTAGTGATGGCTATGAGCATGCAGGTGCTAGGGATAGAACCTGGGTCCTTCAGTGTTCTTAACCTTGAGTGGTCTCTCCAGCTTCTTAGTTTTTATTTATTAGGCTTATTTGTTTTTATGTGTATGGATGTTTTGTCTGTATATATGTTGTGCAATATGTGTGTAAATGAAGTCTATGGAGGCTAGAAAGGGGTATTGAATTCTCAGGAACTGGAGTTAAATAGCTCTTAACCATTGATCCATTTCTCCAGCCCCTTAATTATATTCTTTTTTTAAAAAAGAGAGTCTTAATGCCAGCTCAGGTGGCTGGAACTAACTGTTTTCCAGCTTGATCTTTAATGATCCTCTTGCTTCAGCCTCCTGATTCTAGGATTACATGTATGAGCCATTATTCTGGCTTCAGCGCCTTTTGGGGTTGGTGAGTAGGTTGGTTTTTTTAAGACAGGATTTTCTCTCTGTAGCCCTGATGGTCCTGGAACTTGCTCAGTAGACCAGGCTGGCCCCAAACTCGATCTGCCTACCTTTGCCTCCTGAGGATTTAGGGAGTAAAGGCATGCACTACCATTCAGGTCAATGCCTTTCTATAAAATGACCTCATTAATGATGCAGAAGTTGAGATACAAGAAATTGAAGCATACATAATGTCTGATTAGTATATATGAAGAGTGAATTCAACCATTGTGGGATTCATGGCTTGTTCACAGGAAGAAAAATAAAAAAGTTGTGTCTTCCAAAAATACTTAGTCTTATTTTTTTGTTCATTTTATTTTTAGCCAGGGTTTTACTCTGTAACTCTGGCCTGGTACTCATAGATTCCAGTTGGTCTTGAGTACACAGAGTTAGCCTAACCTGCATTTGCCTCCTGAGTGCTGGGTTTAAAGGTGTGGACTATCACACATCCAGCTATTATCTCTTATAAGAGAAAAGTGGATACATTTGTTGTGTTCCTGGCACTTACCATGTAGAACTCAGCCCTTGGATACTTAAGGGTAGAGAGATTGCTCACAGGTTAAGAGCTCCATTCCTTGTTCAATTCTCCGTAACCACTTGGTAACTCACAACCATCCGTAATGAGATCTGGTGCCCTCTTCTGGCCTGCAGGCAGAACACTGTACATATAATAAATAAGTGATGTGTAAAATAATCCTGTAAACTGAGACAAATTATTTGAAATATGTACGGGCTGGTCTAATTTCCTTTATAAAATTCCTTCTCTTTTAAGATAGTATTTCATGTAGCTCAGGCTTGCCTCAAACTTGTTGTATGGCTGAGTTCTCTCCCTCTGCTTCCCAACAAGTTGGATTTATCAAACCCAAGACTTTATGCCTAGTAGGCAAACATTCTACCTACCGGACTATATCCCCAATTGGTATTAAACAGTAAATATTTAATATATTTATTTTTTAGACAGGACCTCACTGTAGCCTTATATGACCTCAAATTCAGATCCTCCTTCCTGTCTCTGCTAGGATTAAATGTGTGTTACACTAGGCTCAGCGGTTTTTGTCAATTTTGAAATTTACTTATTTTGGGTGCTAGTGAGGTGGCTTAGCAGTTGAGAATACTGTTTGTTCTAGAGTATCTGGCTTTGTTTTCCAGCACTGAAGGATGGCTCACAACTGTATAACTCCAGTCCAGGGGATCTGATGTCCCCTTTTGGCCTTCAGTAGCACTGTACACATAGGGTATGTAGATACACATGCAGGCAGAATATTCATAAAAAATTTAATTTTGAGATAGGAATTATAGGTGTGTGCTGTTATATCAACCCCCCACACTTTTTTGGGGGAGACAGGTTTCCTTTACATAACATAGTAATACTGCTGGCTCTCCTGTAATTCACTATGTAGACTAGATTGTCGTCAAAGTCACAAGAGATCCACTTGCCTCTTCCTTCTGAGTGCAGGAATTAAAGACATGCACCACCACTCTTGACTATACCATCCTTTTTAAAGTGAATGCTGGGTGTTGCTTGGATGGCAAACGCTTAACTAAGCCATCTCCCCTACCTCTTTTTTCAAGACAGGGTTTGTCTATCACTTTGTCTGTCCTGGGACCAGCATTGTAGACCAGCCTGGAGTCAAACCCACAGAGATCCGCCTGCCTCTGCCTCCCTGTTCTGGGTGTAAAGGCATGCTCCACCAATGCCCAGTCCTCCCCAACCTCTTGAGTTGGTATTTTAATGAATTTTACTAAGTAGTTCAGTTTTGCATCAAACTCAAGATCTTCTTGCCTCAGTAATAGGATTATAGGCATGTACCAATAAGCAGTCTCCTTGAGTAGATATTTTGTATGACTTTGGGAACTCCTTGTATGTTTTATAAATTTAAAATGTTGATATCCTTTGGGTCACTTCTAAAGAATTGTTAAAAATTGTTCAGCCTGTTCTAGAGGTAGAGCATGCTTAGTGGTGGATCATTTGCATAGCTTGTGGTTTAGGTGCTGGGTTTGATCTCCAGCACCTTCGAAAGAAAAGTGATGGGGAAGGATGGATCAGAGGGAGGAAAGGAAATTGCTTAAAAGAAATACTTGTATGTATGTGTGAAGAAGTAGCAAAACAGAACATTTATTTATAGGTTTACATAGTGAATTCCAGGACAGCCAGGGTTGTATAGAGAAACCCTATATTGAAAACCCCCAATAATTAACAAATAAATAAATATAAATAAACAAAAATATGAGTTTTAGACTCATCTTTTTCTGTCATTTAAATTTGTCCTTGTTTAACTTACACTTGAACAACTTTTAAAGGAAAGGGACTGCTAAACAGACTTGCTTTTTTTTTTTTTTTTTTTTTTTTTTTTTTGAGACCAGGTTTTGTATGTAACCCTGGATAGCCTGGAACTCACAGATATGTGCCCATCCTTCCTCTTAAGTGGTGGGATTAAGCACGTGTGTCTGCCTAATAGACATGGAGTATTTTAGGCTTGTAAGGGCTATTTAGTATGACCTTTTCTCAAAACAACACCAAAACAAAGAAATTGACCTAGGATTATGTTCCTATTACATACATACATATGTGCCACGACTTTAAAATGTTGCTAGAGTGTGGTGTGCATACCTGTCATCTAGCACTTTATACACTAAGGCATAAAGATTGTGTGTTCAAGGCCAGTCCAGAGTACATAGCAAGTTTTGGGCCAGCGTGGGGAAATTGGTCTGCAGATGTAATTCAGTAGAATGCCTTCCTAGCATATTTGTGGTGTTGGGTTTAATGCCTAGCACTCCTCTTCCCAAATAAAAATTACCAAAAAAAAAAAAAAAAAAAAAAAAAACCTAACTATGTAGCGTTGATCATAGCTTTGTTTTTTCCTGAACTAGGCTATGGATCACTTAGAATCCTTCATTGCAGAGTGTGATCGGAGAACTGAACTTGCCAAGAAGCGGCTGGCAGAAACACAGGAGGAGATCAGTGCAGAAGTTTCTGCAAAGGTATATTAAGTGACTGGTATAATTCCCTTTTGTCTCAACTTCACACTAGTTGGGGATTCTGGGCAGATGGTATTTTCTATCCAGTGGAGATGGTCTGTGACCAGTTATTTGTGTCACAGGATCCTTTCTTCCTTTCTTTTTCAGACAGGGTCTTAATAAGTAGACTAGGTCAACCTTGAACTCCTAAGATTTGTCTGCCTCTTGAATGCTGGGATTAAAGACATGAACCACCATGCACAGCTAAGAAGCATTTCTTAGGCTATATGCAGTTACTAATTAAAAGAAGATGCTATAGTGCTGGGGAGTAATTGGTTATTTTGCTTGCAGCCTAAGTTTGTATACTAAACCTTGCTTTTTTACTACCCCTGCCTAGAAGACATACAGAGATACAAAAAGTTAGCCAAGGGTTGGTGGCGCACGCCCTTAATCCCAACACTCAGCAGAGGGGCAAACGGATCTCTGTGAGTTCAAGACCAGCCTGGTCTACAGAGCTAGGTCCAGGACAGGTTCTAAAACAATACAGAGAAACCTTGTCTCGAAGGGGGGGAAAAAAAGATACAGTGAATGAAATCTGCTGTTTTTTTTCGATGGAACACATGTAGAGTGCTCCTGACACCCCCACCCCTAAGCTTCTATCCAAAAATTGGATTATTGCTATTAAGTGTTTTTTTTATTTTTCAAGATAGTGTTTCTTTGGAGCCTGTCCTGGAACTCTTTTTCCCAAGTGCTGAGATTAAAGGTGTGCGCCACCACTGCTCATTGAGTTTTTAGTCTAAGTCAGGAGTTCTTTTATTTTCAGAGGAATAGGCCAGGCTTTCAGCAAGAAGAAGAGAAATACTTGTTTTATTTGTAACTCCAAGTATTGATGTTTGATGTTTTTATCTGATTATCTGTTCTTAGGCAGAAAAGGTACATGAGTTGAATGAAGAAATAGGAAAACTTCTTGCTAAAGCAGAGCAGCTAGGAGCTGAAGGAAATGTGGATGAATCCCAGAAGATCCTTATGGAAGTGGAGAAAGTTCGTGCAAAGAAAAAAGAAGCAGAGGTTGGTTGTTGGTTGTTTTTGAGACATTTCTTTATATAACCCTGTTGTCCTAGAACTTGGTATTCAGACAAGGCTGTCCTTAAACTCACAAAGGTTTTCTTGATGTGTATCAGTGTTTTGCTTAATATGTATGTGCACTATGTACTTGAATTTGTGTCTGGTGCCCCAGGAGACCAAAAGAGGGGATTGATTACTCTGGAACTGGAATTACCTATGTTTGTAAGCTGCCATTTGAGGGCTGGGAATCAAACTCGGGTTCTCTGGAATAGCAGCAGTCATTCTTTTTTTTTTCTTCTACTTCCCCCAAACATGGTTTCTCTGTGTAACAGCCCTGGCAGTCCTGGAACTTATTCTATAGACCAAGCTGGCCTCAAACTCAGAGATCCTTCTTCTTTTGCTCCTAAATGTTGGGATTAAAGGTGTGTGCCACCACTGCCCAACTTGTTTTGTTTTTAAACATGGTCTTACTTTATAATCCTGGTCGACCTAGAACTCACTGTGTAACCAAAGCTGCCCTGAAATTTAAAATAATCCCTCTACCCAAGCCTCCCAGTTATAGGTATGAGCTAAGTTTGAGGTCAGTCTGGGCTACAAGAAAAGTGGTTATAGGGAAATGATACTAATACAATAATGTTGACCATTTGGACTAAGGTTAAGCTATGTCTATGTTCTTTTATTCCAAATAATAATCTTTTGTGACTGACTGTGGTCATAAGTTCACAGGTAGGGACAGATTTCCAAATTATCCTTTACAGCTTTCCCATTATCAGTATCCACCCACCAGAGTGGTATGTTTGTTACCATTAGTATACCTAAATTTAGACGTCATTGCTTACAGTTTACATTACTTTTAGTATTATATGTTCTGTGGATTTGAGAAAGTTAAAAGGACATCTGTCCATCTATTATATAACTCGCATAGATATTTGTTCCTAAAACTCGTTTTTGGTGTACCTGTTAGGGTGTGGGTGTGGGTGTGTGCGCACACACACAGGCATAACAGAGCTTGTGAAAACTGTTAACACATTTTACTTGTGAACATTGTCCATGGAGGTTAGCAGAGGGTATCAGATCCCCTAGAACTGGAATTGCGACAGTTGTGAGGTGTCAGGTAGGTGCTGGAAATCAAATTTGGCTCTTCTGGAAAAGCAGCAAGTAAGTACTTTAATTGCTGAACCATCTCTCTGAGCCCTTCTCTTCCCATTGATTTTGGTGAAGATGGATTAATAAGAGATGCAATTTGAGAGAGATGGCTTTGAGATGGTCTGTAGATAGGTTGGGGGCATCCTGGAAAGCCATAGCTTAGACCATTGACAAAGTGAGATAAGCAAGAAGTGCAAGGTTAGGGAAGAGATGAGAAAATAATGTGTATGTGCATGTCTGGTGCCTGCTTGGCTTTTAGATATTATTGTGCTTCTAGTTTTACACTTGGCACATGGTTCTGATTTATAGCTAACATGCATAGTGCCAGGGTTTGTTGGGCACTAGAAAAATGCTCTCTGAACCCAACAACAGGCGAGGAAGCTTGGGACCATAAGGATTGTGCTTTTCTGTGGTTCTCCAAAAGTGCCTGGAATTGAAGTTGGTAGCAAAGATCAGATAGATAGGCGGAACAGGATAGTTTCTCATGCCTCATACCCTCAGGGGACATTCCCCCCACCTCTACTTTGTGGTAATATCACTGAGTCATCTATCATTATTTAATTGCTTAGCTTAAAAGACAAAGAGAGTGACCTGGGAGGGAGGTAAAGGAGGTGGGTAGAGGTAGGGAGAACTGTGGTTGGAATGTAAAATGAAGTCAAATGGGGGGGCAAAGATATTCATAACACAGCTGAAATGCCTAGATAGAATTACTCTAAAAGACTATGGGACCAGTCCTTGGACTGTACCTTATATAGAAGCACCTTATATAGAGTGTGGCAGTTGGAGGCAATGAATGATAACTCAGGTAGCTTCTGGTGCCAACTACTCACTAGGCTAGGGAGGAGGGATCTCTGCATCCTTCTTGATTGTAGGTGTATCGGTACAGTATGCCTCAAACCCTGGTAGAGGAGCAGGTACTTGTGGGTTTCTCAATGATTTGGGGATTCAGAGGTAACTATTTTATTGCACTCATACACACATCATGCTCACAAATATAACTCCCAATAAAAGAAACTATGTAATAAGTAATACAGAGATCCTGTTGTCCTTTTGTAGCCACAACCCTTTTTGATTAGATGATTAGGTGTGGTATTCTCATTGGCTTTTCATTTCTATAACTGATTTTAAGAAAATGATAAGTTGGGCATGGTTTTCCATGCCAGATATTTCAGGGCTTGAGAGCCTAAGTCGGGAGGATCTTGCATTCCAGGACAGCCTGGCCTGAACAATGAGAATACTATTTTTTAATATGTATGGGTATTTTACTTACATGTCTCTTTGGATACCATGTGCCTACAGAGGCATGAAGAGGGCATTGGATTCCCTCTTCCCTCTTTGATAGTACAGCCAGTGCTCTTAACCACTGAGCCATATCTCCAGCTCTAAAAGGATCTACGGTGTATACTACACACGTTTATAGTCCCTCAGGACAGGTTAGAGGATCACATGAGTTCCTTCTGTAAGACTACAATATGACCAAGTGTAAGCCAAATTACAATAAACTCTTTTCTCCCAGCTTGCTTTTTTGGTCTTGGTGTTTCATATAGCAATAGTTACCCTAATTAAGTAGTAGTAGTAGTAACCAAGAGAAGATCTTACTCAGTTTATTGCTATAGGCTTCCATTTTTATCTACCCAGAATATTTTTGTTAAGTTTCTCAGTTCTTGGTAGGTTTTCACATTAAATCCTTCTATAATGGTGACCTGTTAACAGGGTTTTTCTATAATAGCTCAGGCTATCCTGGAACTTGCTTTTAGATTAGGCTGTCTTTTTTTTTTTTTTTAAGGCTCTATTTATGTATACAGTATTCTGTCTGCATATCTGCCTACAAGCCAGAGGAGGGCACCATATGGCTACTGGGAATTGAACTCAAGACCTCTGAAAGAGCAGCCAATGCTTTTAACCACTGAGCCATTTCTCTAGCCCCCAGGCTGTCTTCTAACTCACCAAGATCCACCTGCCTCTCTGCCTATGTCTGTCGTGCTGGGATTAAAGATGTGCACCATCACTGCCTGGCTGCTAATCTTGTTCTTAATACATGGTGGCACCGGGACACATTTACCTGGAAAATTTCCTGTGTAATGGTGCATGCATACATGATCTTTCTCTTTGGTTGGGTTTTTGTTGTGGTTTGTTTGATTTGTTTTTATTTTTATACAGGATCTCACTTTGTAGCTCTTGGTGGCCTGGAACTCACAGTGTAGACCAGGCTGACTTTGTTCTAACAGATCTGCCTGCCTCTGCTTCTACATCCTAAATGCTGTGATTAAAGGAGTAGGCCACCACACTCAACTAAATTCCCTATTTTATCAAATTATGTTATGGTTATCATAACCAGAAGTGTGTAAAAGTATTTAACTTGCATTTCTTAGGGAATATTTTAATTGTGTGAATTAATGGAAGCAGTTACATTTACATTCAAGTCTTCCCTTTCAAAATGATCAAAGGGAGTCAGTGGCACACACCTTTAAGCCCAGCACTCAGGAGGTTGAAACAATCACATCTCCACAAGTTCCAGGTAAGGGCTATACAAGTGTGATTGGTCTTGAAAAGAGGTAGGACAAAGGAATGATTTTCTTCACTATGGATTTTGCAGCAGTGTTCTAATTGGAGTGCAAGTACCAGTAGCAGTGTGCCTGGTCTCTTCCTTTTGTTTGATGTATATTTTGCTTTGAGCAGAATGGAAGGATTTATCTATCTATCTATCTATCTATCTATCTATCTATCTATCTATCTATCTATTTGATAAACATTTTAGTATTTCTGAAGGATGCGTATTATGTGTTGGCTACTTTTTTCTTCAAGGAAAGTGTCAATGATTTGGCCTTTCAAAGTATCCTTTTAATCTGCATTAGATATTTCCTGGATATCAGGATATAGTTAAGACTGCTAGCTTTGGTTTACTTTTTAAAAATATGTATTTTAAATTATGTGTGTGAAGGGTTATATGCATCTGAGTGTTAAGTGTCTGAGGTGGACTAGAGGCACTGGATTGATAGTTAGAATTACTGGAGGTTGTAAGCTGCCTGATGTGGTGCTGGGAATGTATACTGCTAGTGCAGTATTTTTATTTTGGTTTTCCAAAACAGGGTTTCTCTGTGTAGCCCTGGCTGTCCTGGAACTCACTCTGTAGACACTAGGCTGCCCTCGAATTTATAGAGATCCATCTGCCTCTTGCTCCGGAGTGCTAGGGTTAAAGGTCTGCACCACCACAACCAAAGTATACGTTCTTAAGAGGCATCTCTCCGGCCCTACTTTTTTTTTTTTTTTTTTTTAAATTAAAAAAATTGATTTATGTATATGGGTATTTTGCCTATATAGGTGCAGTGCATGTGTTTAGTGCTCACAGAAGCCAGAAGAGATCCTCTAACTAGAGTCATAGATGATTGTTATTTCCAATGTGTATGCTGAGAACCAAATCCAGGTCCTCTGAAAGAGCAACAAGTGCTCTTAACTGCTGATCTATCTCTCTCCAGCCTGTTTTTTGTTTACTTTTGAAGTCTTATCTTCCCTGTTGATCTCAGAAAAATCTCCAAACCTACAAAGAAACCCTGTCTCAAAAAAACCTGAAAAAATAAATAATGAAATTGAAGCTGAACAATCCAGTTTTCAATGTGCAGTGATACGTTACCTATATATCAGGTTTTTCCATTTTGGGGGGGGTCTATATTGTGACAGTTTTGAAATGCCTCAGCTTTATCTCTCCCCTCCACCCCCCACATAGGAGGAATATAGAAATTCCATGCCTGCATCCAGTTTTCAACAGCAAAAGCTCCGAGTCTGTGAGGTTTGTTCAGCTTACCTTGGTCTCCATGACAATGACCGTCGTCTTGCAGATCACTTCGGGGGCAAGTTACACTTGGGGTTCATTCAGATCCGAGAGAAGCTTGATCAGTTGAGGGTATGTTAATACACTTTTTTTCTGGAGAAGCCTTTTGAGTCTTGCATCTTGTGGTCAATGTTATCCATTTTTATTCTTTTAGTATTTTAAGAAATGGTTTCTCTATGTTAACAGCTAACAGCTCTGGCTTCCTGGAACTCACTTTGTAGACCAGGCTGGCTTTGTACTCACAGAGATCCACTTGCCTCTGCTTCCCAAGCACAGGGATTAAAGGCACAAACCACCACTACCAAGCAATCCTCTGTACTTTTTTTTTTTTTTTTTTTTTTTTTAATGTATGTTGTGTTCTGCTTGCATGTATACCTGTAGACTAGAAGAGGGCACCGGATCTCATTATGGAAGAGCAGTCAGTGCTCTTAACTGTTGAATCATCATTACAGCCACCTGTACTCTTTAAGTTAGAATTAAACCTTTTTCTGGGTGTGCCCCCCCTTCACACCCCCCTCTCTTTCTCTCTCCCTCTCTTTTTGGCATGGTTTCTCTGTGTAAACCTGACTGTCCAGGAACTCTCTCTATAGACCTAGCTGGCCTCATAATCCAATGGTGATCTACCTGCCTCTGCCTTCCAAGTGCTGGAATTAAAGGCATGTGCATGCCACCACCACCCAGTGGAAAGATCAGAATTTTTTTTAAGATCAATTTCAGCTACCTGGCTAGTTAAGCTCCATCTGTTGAGTCCTTACCTCAACAAAAACATTTGCTTGTCTTCCAATAGCACTTTAATGTATTATGTTGTATCTTTGTGGGTATGAGTTTTGATTTGTTGGTCATGTGATGTGAGTGATAGAAGTAGGGAAGGAAATGAGGCCCCCACCTAAGAGTCTATTCTCAGCCAAACCTGCTGTAGGGAGATGGGAAAAGGAACTTTGGAGCTGACTCTCTTATGTGCCTAGCTCAGATGAAGGATGACCCTAGTTGGAGATGTAGAGTTTGAGGTCCTGGACGGGACAGCTTACCTGGGCCTTGCTTTGTTCTCTTATATAGAGGGGCATGGAGACTTTCCATGCTATCCCTGCTCTAAGCAGAGAAGACTGGAAAGTTTTTGTATCAAGGGGTGTGGCTTATTCCCCCATTCAGGATTTTGTTTCATTCACTCTGCCCAGATGATGTATTAGGTTTTTTTTGTTATTAGTGTTGGGTTATAAAAGTACTTAATACTTTTCAGCTAGCTCAAGTTGATGCTGATTTGATGGTAAAGTGTATCAGAACCTTCTGCCTTCTGTTGCGTTTAGGATTGAGCCTGATGAATTGAATGTGCAGTTGTGCTAAGGTTACTATAGCACTTACCACATCAAAAGTGAGTTGTTTCTGGCTACCTAGAGTTCCACTCCCAGCACCAGGGTGTATGTGCTCTGCTCTGACTCATGGCTTCTTTTTCTTTCTTTCTTTCTTTCTTTTTTTATTTTATTTTATTTTATTTTATTTTATTTTATTTTTTTTTTTATGCAGTACTTATAGAGAGGCTATAGGATGAACAACTAACTTTATGCCTTGGTTTGAAGCATTGTGATCAATTCCTTGTGACTTAGAAGTTCAGCCCCTCCTGTTTAATTTGTCACCAAATGTGTAAAATGATTGTAAAAATTTTCATTTGTTGTCTTTAAAATGAATAGAATATTGTTTCCTAGAAGTTGTTAATTTTATGTTTTCCATTTTTTTTAGAAAACTGTAGCTGAAAAGCAGGAGAAGAGAAATCAGGATCGCTTGAGGAGAAGAGAGGAGAGAGAGCGAGAGGAGCGGCTGAGCAGGAGGTAAATGTGGACCAGCCTCAGGACACTGCTGTTTGCTGTGCTGTTACATGGAGTAATCGTGTTTGCCACACACTGAACTGATGTTTGTTTTTTTGTTTGTTTTGAGGCAGGTTGTCTTGGTGTGTGTATTGTTGTGTAGAAGCACCATGACCAAGGCAACTCATATAAAGGTGTGGTGGCAGCTTACAGTTGAGAGGTTTAGTCCATATCTTCGTGGTAGGATGTAAGGCAGAATGCAGGCAGACATTGTGCTGGAGAAAGAGCTGAGGGTTGTTAGATCTTGACCTGCAGGCAATAAGTAGTAGTGGTATCTTGAGCATAGGAGACCTCAAATCCCACCCCAACAGTGACATACTTCCTTGTAGTGCCATTCCTTTTGGGGATACCACATAGGTATCACTATGTAATCTGGGCTGGCCTCAAATTTGCAGAGGTGCATGTGCCTCTGTTTCCCAATAGCTGAGATTAGGGCATGTGCCATCACACAGGGCGCTGGAGTGGCTTTTAAAAAGAATAATAATTAAATCTGTAACATAAGCTGTCTGGTAATATACACCATTGATTTTAAACAAAGGAAGGACAACCTGGAGAGGTTTTACCTTTTCTTCTTCTTTTTTTTTTTCTTTCTTGGTTTTGGTTTTTCAAAGCAGGGTTTCTTTGTGTTGACTTAGCTGCCCTGGAACTAGTTCTGTAGACCACCAGGTTAGCCTCAAACTCAGAGATCCACCTGTCTCTGCGTTCTGGGTACTGGGATTAAAGGCATATACTGTTGCCCAGCTATCCGTGAATCCCACAGAGCCAGCTCCTCTGACAGCTGGACATGAAATCTTCAGCAAATAAGGAAGGCAAAAGTATGTCTGCGCTGGTAGCTAAGCTGCAGTCTCATGGCAGTGTACTGCTGTGGGGAGTCGTTAGCTTTGGACTGAAGGGGTGGAGGTTTTATATAGGTTCTGTCTTTTTTTTTTTTTTGGTCACATAGGGCCCCTGGACAGACTTTCCCATAAGACCTATAATTGAAATATGTTCCTACCCATTGAGAAGCAGAGTGTAAGGTGTTGAGCAAAAAGCCCCCACACGTGAGACGCTTTGGATGCAGGAAGAGTATGAGTTTGGGTTAAGCAGTCTGGGCTAGACCTGGCTTGGACTTGGAGCTGTGTGAGGAAAAGGAATGAAGCTGGCTTCGTGGTTTCTTTTTCTTTTTTTTTTTTTTTTTGTTTTTTGGGACAGGTTTGTTTTGTTTTGTTTTTCCTATATATCCCTGGCTGGCTGTCATGAAACTCATTCTGTAGACTCATTCAGGGATCTGTCTGTCTCTACCTCTAGATTAAAGGTGTGCAGTACCATGCCCAGCTTCTTGTCTCTTGGTTTCTAAGCAGGAATTGTTTCTTAACTAGGACAGGTAGGATGGAACCAGATATAGGGTGTAGAAATCAGTTTGAGATGACTGAGAAGTGCTCAGGTAGATGTGTTGGGTCTAATTTGAATTCAGAGAAGAGATCAGAGCCAGAAGTAACCATGTTCTCTCGAAGGACAGTTTTTTGTTTTGATAGGCTTTTATTATGTTTCTTTGGCTGAGCTAGAACTTTGTGTAGACTAGGTTGGCTTCAGACTCACAGGGATCCATCTGCCTCCGCCTCCTGCGTGGTGGGATTAAAGGTGTTTTTTATTTTCCTGTTTAGGTCTGGATCAAGAAACCGAGATCGAAGGAGGTAGGTTTCCAGATTCATCATAGGGTTCTCAGGGTAAATGCTTTTTTTAATGCAGAAACATTTAGTAATTATGTTTATAGCTTCACAAACTTTGGTAGGCTATGCTGGCTTGTGAAGAGCATAGGAATTGGTTAGGGCTTAGCACAGCAGAACCACCCCACAAGTCCTATACATGCAGACACATTCTGCCATTGGGGAGAAGGGTAGAGCTTCTGCTGAGGCCTGCAGACCCACTAGGAGTGTCCAAGCCCTGTGTTTTTATTTTTTATTTATTTATTTTGAGGTGGGTTTTTTGTGTGTAACCATTTGTAGACCAGGCTGACCTAACTTTTAAGCACCAGTTGATCTGCCTCTGCCTTCTGAGTGCTGGGATTAAGGTGTGTGCCACCAGACCTAGCCAAGTCCTATGCTTTCACAGAAAAGCACAGGGAAAGGTTTAGCCATCACATTAATTCAGGAGAGTCTTTAGTCCCAAATTGCGCTGAAGGCCAAAAGATGCTAAGAGGAGAGGAATGGCAATAAACCTTTGAAATATTGACCCCAGTGATGTCTTCCTCTCAAAATCATCTGGGTTTTACAGGTCACGATCCCGGGATCGGCGACGGAGGCGATCTAGATCTACCTCCCGAGAGCGGCGAAAGTTTTCCCGTTCCAGGTCCCGAGATAGACACCGGCGACATCGCAGTCGTTCCCGGAGCCACAGCCGGGGTCACCGCCGAGCTTCCAGGGACCGGAGTGCAAAATACAAGTAACTACTCTGACTTCCTCAGTAGCTGCAGCCAGGAGCCAGCTCTTTCTCTTGTGTTCCCAAGTCTACTGGGGTTTGTCATGATGGCTTTTGGCCACTACATCCAGTAGGGACAAGGTTGGGCTCTGGGTGACTAGAACCCTGTGTTGGTGCACTGGTAATAGAGTGGCACCCAATGCTTGGAATAGTATAAGGCTGATGAGCTCTCACGTGGCCCTCTGGGTATCACTGCACTTGACTGGGCTTTATGTACTTTAACTTGGTAAAGAGCAGCTTAGATTTTTGTCTTGAACAGGTCCTGCTTACTTACCTCTCTTGTAACTTTGGTTTTGTTTTGAGACAGGCCCTCACTTTGTAATCTAGGTTGGCTTGAACTCAAGATCCTCTTGCTTCAGCCTCCCGAGTGCTAAAAAGAAGTGTATACCACCATGCTTGACTTATGTGGTTTTCCATTCTGCTCTTTTCCATTGTCTTTACATACTGGGTCATAGTCCACATGCATAAGTTTGTTGTATTCCCATTTGCTTGATTTCTGTTACATTGAAAACTTTCCTTATTAAAAACCTTTTCTTTTTGTTTATTTTTAAAGATTTTTATTATGTGTTAGTGTATTGTGTCACAAATGGTAGAGAGAGAGAGAGAGTGTGTGTGTGTGTGTGTACACTGTTGGAGGACAAAAAGGGTCTTGGATGGATCCTCTGGAGCTGGAGTTGCTGGTGATTCTTACGCCTGACATGGGTGCTGGGAAATGAGCTAGATCCTCCACAAGAGCCAGGCCTATCTCTCCAGCCCCTTAAACCTTTCAAATGTTACTTTTTATCATTTACTTTTGATTTTGAGACCAAATCTCTGTAGCCTAGGCTGGCCTCAAACTTAATCACTCCTGTCTCACCCTTCTGAGTGCAAGGATTACAGGTATAAGATACCATCCCCAATTCAAATGGTTGCTTTTTTTTTTTTTTTTTTTTTTTTTTTTTTATATTATACCTGTGTGATCATTAGACACTAGATGCAGTCAGGCTTGGCTGTCTTCTGATATACTAAAAGGAACCTGAGGCCAGGCAGTAGTGATGGTACACACTTTTAGTCCAGTTCTTGGGAAGAAAGGGCAGGTGTATCTCTTGACTTTAAAGCCTGGTCTACAGAGTGAGTTACAGCCAAGGCTACACAGAGAAACCCTGTCTTGAACCCCCTCCCCAAGGTCATGACCTTCCTTGGTCCAGGGTTGAGGGTTCCTATGCAGCAGCCAAAAGGAGATAGCAGCCTCTGCTGAGCCTCTGGTTCCACTTTCCCAGGTTCTCCAGGGAGCGCTCATTGAGAGAGGAATCCTGGGAGTACGGGCGGAGTGAGCGAGGGCCCACTGACTGGAGGCTGGAGAGCTCCAATGGCAAGACTGCATCGAGAAGGTCGGAGGAGAAGGAGGCTGGCGAGATCTGAACCTGGCCCTGGCACTGTAAATAATCTGACAAAAGTTCAGTTCAGCACAGCCTAAATTACCCTTTATATTTGCTGGATACAACTCATCTTTTGTAGTTAAAATTTATATTGTTTGGCCCTAGCTGTGAGTTTCTAGAGTTGTTCAGAGCTGCTCCTGTGTTTGGGGTTATGTTGTATAGGAACAAATAAATTTGGCGGCTGCCTCCTGACCCCTGTGTTAGGGTATCTGCTGTCTTCTAGAGGCAATTCATCTGCATCTGTGGAGATAAAGGCTGGTGCTGCCATTACCTTAGGAAACTGACCAAATGTCTGACCACTTTAACTTTTGGCATCGTGTGTGCTAGGGCATTCCCAACACACTTAACTGAGCCAGATGTGTATGGTTTCCCTGCCTGAATCACACTCTGCATTTCAATGCAGACCATAGAGCAGGCTCTGTGGGTGGGAGGGGCAGCCACATTACACACTCATTTCCTTAGGGAGAGCTATAGCTATTGAAACCTTAGCTCAGGTGAGCTACATTGAAATTCCACTTTGTTATTTAGGTAGAATAAAAACATAGATGCTCCCTACCTGCCAATCAGAAGGTCTTTTGGAGAGGGTTACAGCTTAGGTCAGATATCTTGGGTGGTTTACACTTGGGATAGACTTATTGCTACCCCCGAAGCTCACGGAGGACCAATGCCTTAAGACCAAAATGAAGCCCAAATAGAAAGGATAATAGAATAAGCGCTTCTGCCCTTCCCTTGCCTGAGGGGTTTAGACTTTGTTTTGAGGGAACTTTAGTTTGTTTTATTAAATATAAAAGCCCCCCCTCTCCATGCCATGCTTATAAAAGTTTAGGTGCTGTCGTGGGCTATTGGTTTGATGGTCACACATAGGATCTTGAAGTCTTGTAGTGTTGTTCTGGTGCTGCCCTACTCCCTTTTATAGAGGATGTGTGTGGGTACCTCCTGTGCTGATGTGTGAAACAGGCTTTCCCTGGCCAGTTGTCTCCATATGAAAGAAGGTAGGGTGGAATATTCCTGAAGGACCCACTGGGACTCAGAACTTTAGCATGGGTGCCCTGTATAGGTTTTATCTCTAGCCCCTCGGCTTCCAGTTGGGACTCAGTTTAGCTCTGCTGTCTTCCTGGAGTAAAGTCTCTACCTGGTTCCAGGAAAACATTTTGACTAGCTGTGTACTCATACTAGGAACATTTTGCTTCTTGGACTCTTAACTGGACAGCCCTCCTCAGAGCCAGCATCAGTGGGTTTGGTTTGGATCCTTTTCTGTCTAGATAATTTATATGTGAAGAAACAGCTGATTAGTTTTATCAGGGTGTAAATTTACTGGAAACATTTTTTGTGCTGTGGCCTGTAGTGCCCACAGAGAATAATTCTTGTCATACTACAGCTACTAGGCTACAGTAGCTTAGGTAGTAGTATCCTTTGGGTGGTCAGGGTCCTTAGAGTTGCAGAAAGGCCACTTGCTTCAGACTTTTGTGGAGGATGTTCTTACCAAGGACATTGTAGCAAGTTTTTTGTTGTTTGTAGTGAGATATTCACCCTGCCCGCACCTGTTGCACTGACCACTCTCATTGGGGCATGGGGACAGGTACAGACGTGACCTGTGTGGTGTGGGTCTGGGGTCCTGGACCCCAGCTCACTCTCTTACCTCCTGGTCAGAGACAGCATCCAGCAGGCATCCTAGAAGCAGGAACCCAAGGTGGTTTTCTGTTTCTGGTGTAAGTGATTTCTCCCTGAATAAACGTGCCAGCCTATACTGTGTCCCAGAATCTTACTTCCCATGCAATAGTTTTTGTTTTGTTTTGTTTTTGAGTGACAGTCTTGTTACCCAGACTATTGAACTCTAGGGCTCAAGATATCTCTGTCCCCAAGTAGCTGGCAGTAATGATTGTGCCAGCACATCTGGATGCTTTGTTTTATTGTCTTTTTGGTTTTCTAGACAGGATTTTTCTATGTATATTCCTGGATGTCCTGGAACCCACTCTATAGAACCAGTTGGCCTCAAACTCAGAGATCTGCCTACTTCTGTTTTCTTAATTGGAGTTTTTGTGGAGAAAGAGAACTAGAAGAACAGATAACCAGAGATTTGTTGTGTGTGTCTGTGGGGAGTGGCTCAGACTATTATGTAAGAAGTTATGGGATCTACCATCTGCAACCTGAGGCCCCGATACAGGTGCTGATTAGGTTCCAGGTCCAAGAACTGGGATAGCCATTAGTTTTCATCCTGGGCATTTGTGAGGCCCAATAATAGCCAGTACTACCCACAGGCCAGGACACAGGAGGAGGTGGACGTCCAGCTCAGGAAGAGCAGATAGGCCCTCCTAGATCCTGTTCTTTCCAGGTCCTTGTTGCATAGGTGATACCAGTATATTGGGCAGGGCAGTCCTAACTGTGACTGGTGATTCTACTGCTTCCCAAATCCATGTCATATAATGTGTGTCGTGCATGTGCTCTGGGAGATGGTACACAGGCTCTTCTACTTGCTCATATAGGACAAGTTTGCCTTACGTTGAATACGAACTGAAGGACTATGGATGTGCAGGGCATATTTCTGTGTCTGAGACATAGCAGTTGGGGCAGCAGGTCAAAATCAGGTTTCTGCAATGACCATGATTGATTCTTAGGCAGGAAAAAGGCATTACCTTCTCTCTGAAATCATGAAAACAGATAGCCCCTGTTCCCCTTGTCTACATGATTAGCACTAGGCCTGGGGATTTAATTCCTGTCTTAGGTTTAGAGTCTGGCAACATTGGGCTTTTATCACAAGCCGTACTGATAATGGAAGTTATTTTTGTCTTGTCTCTTGTAGGTCAGGTTTGTGCCAATAGGTGGCACTGTATTAGTTTTGGAGACTTATCTACCCACAATCCTTTACCCCATCTTGCTACAGGGAGGGGTGTCCTATCAGTGAATTAGACTCAGTCCATATGGATCTGAAAAAAGTGAGGAGGATGAACATGAAATATCCCTAGCAAAAGTGTTTGACCAAGGTTCCTCCTGCAGTTAGAGGACTCGTGATACTGTTATTTTCTGAAGGATAAAAGCTGCAGCTATTTGCCCAAGTGGGCCAAATCCAGCCTCAATATTTGTGACAAATAATCCTAGGCCTGCCAGTTTAGAGTCCTCTTGAATCTCTTAGTGTTTCATGGTCCTTTTAACAGGTAAAAGGCTGGACCTTTATCATATTAACTTAGGGGGATCTGTGACTCTTGGACCTTAACCTGCGCAGTGGGAAGGTAGGCCCTTAGTACTCAGAAGTCATGAGAGAGAAAGAGAAATGTAAGATGTGCCCCTAGCAATGCTTGGTAGCCAGTACCTGAGTATTGTGGCTTGGGAATGTTATTGTTAAGGCCTCCATGGTGGGTCAGAAGTAGGCAGAGTAGGGCCAGGCCAAGTCAGCAGTCTGACAATGGCCCAGGGAGCTTTGGGAGGGGCCGTGTACTATAATGGGGGCCCCTCTGCAACAACAGGGTCAATCTGTCAGCCACTTGGCTGTGGGCTTTAATCTGCAGTCTGGTCCTGGGATGTATGAACTCTGGTTTCCAGAGTTTAGCTGTGACCTGGGAGCCCTGGGGTCCCAAACCTCAGATTTTTCCTGCCTGGCATGCATTATTAGAATACACTGAATTTTAGTGTGTGTTTTATCCTTGTCAGTATCTTCTGCCTCCTGAATCATTAATATATTTCCATGGGTCTGCTTAATGTTAAAATGAAAGTAGTTACTGCTCAGATAATTAAATGGACAGCTGTTAGGTGTCTGACTCCTAGCACACATTCCTTTCAGATTAGTGATGTTTATGGAATGCCTATGATGTATTCCAGTGATGATAGCAAATGCAGCAACGCTTCATATAACAAACTACCATTGTAGCCATTTCTGATGTGTATAAGTCAGTGATGTTTGTGTAGCCACAGTGTTGTGCAGTCATCACTGTTAGCAAGTTGCAGGATGTTTTCATCCAGACAGAAACTCTGGTCCACTAGCCAAAACTATCCATTTTCTTCCTGAAGCCCCTGGCAACCAGGAACCTGTTCCTGTCCCTCTAGTTTGCTTATTTGACTATTTCAGAAACACAGACTTATGCACTGTATGGCCTTTGGTGTGTTGGCTTTTACTCAAGGTATCTGCAAAACTCAGTGGTTTGATGTAATCTCATTACTTAGATGGGTCAAGAATATTCCATTCTGAGTGTGAGCTACAGAATGTTTACTCACACTGATGGTTAAATCTGATCAGCTGAATGGGTTTTAGAATCACCATGAAACACACCACAATCTGTCTATGAAGCTGTTTCCGGAGGTTTCAGTGAGGAGACCCACCCAGATGTAAGCTGCACCATCCTATACTCTGGGGTCCTAGACTGAATAAAAAGGAGGAAAAGAGCTGAGGACCAGCCATCATCTCTGCTTCCTGACTACAGATGCAGTGTGACCAGCTGCCTTAAGTTCCTGCAACTTCCCCACCGCAAGGACTGTACCCATATACTGTGAACCAAAATAAAACTGCTTCCCTTGGTTGCTCTTGTCTGATATTTTGTCACAGAAATGAGAAGTGGATCTTGCATCCTACTAATGCTTACAGTGTGCTGTAGCTGGCTCTAGGATTATCACTTTTCCAAAGATGTCTCTTGGACCCAGGGAAAGAATTTCTAACAACCCCTGACTTTGTGCTTCTTGCCTGAGTTCATTTCCACCCAGGTTTGTTTTTGCCTTTTTCATTTGAGGAAGTCTCACATTACAGCCCTTGAAAATACAAAAGTCTCACCCAGGGTTTCATATCAGGGTTGGGAATGTATGGATGCAAAGCCTGATACATCAAACTGAACTGGGTGCTAAGCTGGGCCAGTTTCTTGTGTATGTGTGTGTCTGTGTGGAATGAAAGATAGCAAAGAAATTGTATTCCAGCAAATTCATGTTGGATCTGGTGGGAAACCAAAGGTAGGAGTGAACCCAGGACTGCAGGACAAGGCATTGTCCACAACCCATGGGCAGAGGACTCTGCCTGGTCCCTCTTCTCTAACCTGTACTTCCCTTCTCTTTCCTCCCTGCTCTTGTCTGACCTGCCTCAGCACAAGAACCTAACTCCCAGGGTAAGGGTGTGTCCCCCTAGATTCCAGGCCCTAGAGGTGCTGTGGGTGTTTTACTCCATTTCAGATGATAGATAATTATGTTAGAATTCACAACACTAGCAAAATTACACT